CTCCCTGTAGTACTAATTTTATTATTATTATTATTATTATTATTATTATTATTATTATCATAGCATCGTTCACAGATAAAAACACAAAAATACAAAGACAGTAAAAATGTATCAACGTGGTAGTAAATGAAGTGATTTTCATGACTGGTGTTCCAGTAACATGATACTGTTGGATATTTTGTGGTTGATTACCTGAGTTTTAGATACAGTCTTATATTTTATTACTCCAAGCAGCTGCGACACTCTGCAGTTTTGAGCTCTAATGGTTTGATTGATTTGATTGTGTAGGTTGGCATGGCGGCTCAGCTGGTAGAGCTGATGCCTCTCAATGAGAAAGTTGATAATTCAAATCCCGGCACGGGGAACTTTCTGGGTAGGGTTTTGTCAGTGCATGCGTGGGTTTTCTCCAGGRACTCCGGCTTCCTCCCACAGACCAAAACCATGACTGTTAGGTTAATTGATAACTCTAAATTGTCCCAAGGTGTGAGTGAGAGAGTGAATGTTTGTCTCTATGTGTGGACATGCCACCTGTCCAGGGTGTACCCTGCAAGGTTATAATAGTTTTGGGTTTTTCATTATAGTTTCGTTTTATTTCGTTGTAACTTTTTTCTTTTAATTCAGTTAGTTTTGATTAGTTTTTACAGTGGATTTGGTAGTTTTTATTAGTTATTATTTCATTTTTAATGTTTAGTTTTAGTTTAGTTTATTTTTTATTAGTTGTAGTATTGGTTTTTTTATAGTTTATTTGCCAATGCATCCTCCAGCTTGTGATGGTCCTGTGAGTTAACTAACCAACAGCTATTTGGTTGCTAGTTAAACAGTCCATTATAGTGAGACCCTCCTAAAATAGTTGCATAACTCAGTTTTGCCAACTAAGGACTTGGGTGATTATTTTAGGACAATGATAATAGTTGTTTCCAACCTGGTGCTACCTGCTGCTTGTTTTTCCTGGGAGCTACTGAGAGAAGCTACCATGTCAGTATAGTCATAGTTAGCCATGTTGTGTGAGCTTGATTCATGCAGTTTTTCCCTTGAGAAGCTTTCCACCTATTTTATCACCTGTTTCCACTACAACCCATACTGCAGGAACCCCAGAATGCCACACCATGGGTGGGAGTGCCAAAAGGGCTGCACAATCCAAAATGTAAGCGTTAAGTCGACAAGGATGACCCAGATCAGGTAGAACYTGTCCACAATAGCTAGACAGCTCAGATAGATGACAGCTGTGTTGGACATCCCGCYTTTACGAAAACAGATCATGTAGAAAGTGAAGAGGTTTGCTGGAGAGGAAACGAAAACAAAGAAGACCATCATTCATCTCAAACACCAGCTGGGGTTTCTTGAAGGGATCCCCGATTAGTTGTAACATTAGACTTCATTTAATAAACATATATTTACGTAAAATAAAGACTGTAAAAATACTGTAGGTTGTTTAGTTTTTATCATTTTTAAACTAAAAGTTTAAAAATATATTACACGGACGGGGCCATTTTATTTACACGCAAAGCATTCTGGGTAAATGATGATGTCAACTAGGTCATCGGCATGAGGCTGCTAGCGAGCTATATCCACCCTGAAGGTTAATCTTGGACAATATCTGATGATCGACTCTTTTAAATGAAACCAGAGAGCGTTGACAGAGAGGAGAAGGTAGAAATGACTCAGCCTGTAACTGAAAATATGGATGGAGGACAACAGAGCTGCTTCATGGAAGAACAACCTCAGCTTAGCCTGCTAGCTTTAGCGTTAGCCCCAACGCTATAACCATATATATGCATTAGCTCAGCACTACACATTCTCCTCTCGTCACTGAGGTCCTCCACCCACATGACAGAGAGGGGAACGCAAAAATGACTCAGTCTGCAACTGAAAATATGGATGGAGGACCTCAATTTAGCTTGTTTGTCGCGCTAGCGCTGAGCTAATACATATAAGGCAATATAGCATGAGGGCTAACGCTGAAGCTAACAGGCTAAGCTGAGGTTCTTCTTCCATGAAGCAGCTCTGTTGTCCTCCATCCATATTTTCAGTTACAGGCTGAGTTATTTCTACCTTCTCCTCTCTGTCAACGCTCTCTGGTTTCATTTAAAAGAGTCGATCATCAGATATTGTCRAAGATTAACCTTCAGGGTGGATATAGCTCGCTCACACTGAGGACCTATTCACGTCATCATTTACCCAGAATGCTTTGTGTGTAAATAAAATGGCTCCATCCGTGTTAAAATATATTTTTAAAAATTTACAAAACTAAACAGCATACAGTATTTTTACAGTCTTTATTTTACAGTTAAAATAAATGTTTATCAAATAAAGTTTATTACAACTAATCATGGATCCCTTTAAGAAGGTTTTACATTAGGWTCATGCAGTGGGGACTTTGTGTGGAGTCTGCCTTGTTACAGTTTTCACTCCATCCTCTAATGTGGGGTTATTGTAGAAGAATAACCTTATAGAGGATGTGTTGTTTTCTTTAATACATATTGTGTGATTAGTTGTTTTTTTTCATGGCAAACACTAATTTAAAGTTATTTTGATCTCTTGTGACTGAGAAATCATCAAATCCCTATGAGTCAGACCAAAGCCATTAATTGCAATCTTTAGGATTATTTACAAAAAACAAATATAAATATTCTTGCTCTCTGTTTGTCTGTGTGTGTGTGTGTGTTAGTGTGTGTGTGTGATGGCGTGCATGTCATAGTGCGTGAGAAGCAGCGGATCAGGATCCTCTTCCAGTCTGTGGTCCTGCCCTGCGAGTACCAGACCCACTCCAGGCAAACCCCGATGGTGCAGTGGTGGTACAAGTCGTACTGCCGGGACCGCACGCGCGACGCCTTCACCCTGCCGGAAAAGCTGGGCGTGAAGACCTCGGAGCTGGGAGCCACGGCCCACCTGGACTGCTCCGACAGCAGCCGCACCATCCGGCCCGTGGCTTCGACGCAGGGAACCTCGGTGACACTGGGAGCGCAGTACAAAGGCCGAGACATTTCCATCGAGAACAGTAACGTCATCAATCTTTCCTCTGAAACAAAACAAAACATTAAATTTAGGAGGTGCTGCAGCTGTTTGACCACTGTACATGAATCAGCGCTGACTGTGTTTTTTCTAAATAAGCCTTTTGTGGTTTCCACAATGTGCCACTGACTCACATCTATTCACATGTAAACCCTGAAATAACTCYGGTCTTATCATCCGAAAACATATGCTTTGTTCAAAGCTTTCCTGAGTGGGGAGTAGATGCAGCACCTGCGTTAGATGCTCCTGATAGAAACCGTAAACAAATATAATCCTGTTTTTTTTTTTTATCTTTTGGCAGAAGCTGACCTGCGTATCGGGGAGCTGCAGTGGGGCGACAGCGGCGTGTATTTCTGCAAAGTTACCATTGCTGACGACGTGGAGGGGACCAACGAGGACAAAATCGAGTTACTAGTGCTTGGTATGGCTGACATAAAGTTGTTTTTTAATTGTTTGCATTTGCAGGGGAAGCTAGTTTTAGAGAAGTTATCTCCACTGAGCTGCATTCCTACACGTRTGTACAGCAGTAACCACAGAAACAGCCAAAACAGTGTTTGCCTCCTTACAGCAGCCCTGATCCTCCGTGACAGACTCTTTTGTTTAGGTAGTTCAGAGGAACGATGTGCACTTTGACTGGAAAGCCTGGAGCCTGTTCAGCGACTGAAGGGCTGTGTGGGATCGTATCTCCGGCTGGACTACAGAGCCAGCTTGTGTGTGTGTTGCAGTGTGCGCTCACCTCAGGGAGTGCTGGTTAATGATTATACAGGGKCTCTAAAGCCACATCAACCAGCTAATATTTTACTGTTAAAGGTCGGAGAATCAGCATCTACTGTAAAGGAGAAAATTAGAGATGGTTTATTAGAAAAGACAAGAGATACAAAAGGTCAGGACAGGACTAAATCCTCTGTCTGATGTGCTCTGATATRCTCCAAACGGTTTTCTCCTCCAAACTTTGACCCGTTGCTCATTCATTCATGTCGTCTCCGCTGCACTAATCTAACTGTAAGCAGCTCGCAGCGAGAAAAGAGGGGCTTAAACGAAACTGTGTTTGAAGTGCTTTAGCTTTTGTACTCTGCAGCTGAAAAACCTTGGCTTGAAAARATGCTAAACTCTTCCTCCGCTTTGTTTGCTGTAGCAAAGTTTCTAATTTAATCAGTAGTGTTATGACTATAACTAAGAAAGACTACAAGCGTTTAGCTAATAGGAAAGATTTTAAACTGAACATTCTGTAGTTTTCACAAGGTTGTAGGTCAGATTATTAAGAATGTAAACAAGCAAGCTAAGAGATACTAGTGAGCTMAAAGGGATAGTTCCTCAAAGCTGCTATCCTGCATGTTTTAGAGGTTTCTCAGCTCCAACYCCTGATTTGCATGAATGGGTGATCAGTCTTCTACAGAYTTTGAAGAGGTAATTCAATCACTGGGTGACTCAGTTGGTAGAGCTGTTGCCTTCAAGCAAGAAGGTTGTCAGACTGAKTCSCAGCAMGGGACCTTTCTGGGTTGAGTTTGTGTTTTGGGTTGCARCGATTTCTGTCTGATCACTGAACTTTAAAAAGTTTAACCTGCTGATACAGACTGTTTAAATAACTGAGTGTTATAAGGCAGCTGCGGGGCGGTGACAAGCTGCGCCACAGGCCACCCTATACTTTTGCATTGGGGACATAACTGCACATGTCCAAAATCTTACAGTGACTTGTCTATGGGACTCTGGAGCGCCGAACCGCTCGTGACCCGGAAGTGACTCAACATGAAAA